AATTTGTCATGTTTTTTGGGTGTGTCCTTAAACTTATGATCGGGAGTGTAAGCGCGGCGTTATTTCTTCACCAAAGAGATTTCTCCCTGCTGGTTCATCTCCCGCTTGGATTTTTTTCAAGTCCCACAATATTGAACACTCAACTATGTTGTAGAAGATTGAAAATGTGGCTTAGCTCCACAATCTGGAAACTTTATTTAGTGCTATAAAATTAAGCTTAGTAAGTTTTGCAAGTCTGGAAAGTTTTACAAATTGATTTTGCATTTCATTTTAGCACTGCCAATGCCAACAGAACTTCAATCAACACTTCATGTGCTTATAAGTATTTAATCAGTACATAACCTAACAATAATAACACTCCGAACACGATGCCACCTGTGAAATTTTTAACGGCAAACTTGCAATGTTTGAAAAATCCAAGCTCAGCCGTTTATTGATGAATTTCAAAAATTTTGGTTCCATTAGTTCAATAAAATAAAAAATCATAAGCAATTAATTAATACAAAACTATTCATTTTTATTAAAATTTTGGAAACTAGGTAGGGTGGGTGAGCCAGTAGTGGAGGTTCTTAGCCAATTTATTAATTTAACAATAAATATACGATGTACACACGTCAATCTATAGCTTTCAACCTATCTTTTGATAGAAAAATATTACACTGAAATAAAATTGCATACAATTTTAGAAAACTCATTCTCCATTAATAGGAACACTGTTCCAGTAGTTGTGCTAGTTGCTAACTTTGGTTCCTATAATAGTGGAATGCGTTGGTTTCTTATGGGTTCCACTATTAAAGGAACACTACCGCAACTATAGGTGCAAAGGATTGAAAATCTTAAAGAAAATTAATGATTTTCCGTAATTTTGGGGCGAATTTTAAGTTTCAAATATGCAAATATGCTTTATTTTAGGGCAGCTACCGATAAAAAATAATCTTATCTGGGTCCTCCTCACTATTCCGGCACAACCTCCATACCGTAACTATAGGTACACTACTATTACTGGAACACCTACCCTATTTAAAAAATATTAATTTATATTTTATTAAATAATTGAAAATAGTACTTCCTCTAAGCTTTTAAAATTTATTTAAAATTAATAGATTTAAAATCTATTTATAAAATGCAGAGCAATGATTTTTCAAACATTGCCCATTTGCCGTTACAGCTGTTTATGTGTATGGCATTTATTTTATGTTCAAGCCTTTCGAAAGAAGATAAAAATTGATTCGTTCGGAGTGCTTCTGTTATTTTTGAGAATAATGGGTACAAACATTCATATCACGCGAACTAAAGAATCGTACCAAATGCAGGGCTGTTACAACAGGCGCGGATTTCGCAAATTTCGTGGATTTCGCAAATTTTCGCGGATTTGTCGCGGATTTGAACTTTCAGTCGCGAATATCGCGGAAACATTAAATGATGTCGCGAAAATCGCGAAGGGACTGATGTGCTGTCACAAAAAATGTGGAATTCATTGTAACCTTTCTGTCCCGGATTATTTTGCTGTCTTCAATTTTGCTGTTCATTTGGCTCTCCATTTTTTACCGGTTCAAACCAAACACCCTGTAAATAATCGAAAATTCCCTGAGGTCTGTCCAATGTGAGACATTTTCCTTTTTCCAATATGAACATAGCATTTTTCGTTGTCAAATCATAAACGAAACGTATAGAAGCGAGTAATTGCCATGTATACCGGACATTCTAGGTTCTCCAAATCGTCCTGGAGTTCAGTTGATTTGTTCTACAATATCAACCAAGACTGCAATAATGTCTGTAGTATCGAAATATGTTCAAACAGATTCAAAGTGTCTATGTAGATTGTACCCGACCTATACGACCTACGTATACAAGATGTTATAGGTTCTGAAATCATTCTGTAGATCAGGTTATTTTTCTACTAGATCACCCAAGACTAATTCAATATATGTAGTATCGAAATATGCCCAAACAAATTTGCAGTGTCTATGTGGATCATGCCAAATGTTTTAGGATTTCCAAATCGATATTCGATACTACAGATATTATCCTAGGCTTTGTTGATCTAGTATAACAAATCATCTGAACTGCAGGACGATTTGGAGAACCTAGATCATCTGGTATACAGGGAAATAATTAAACATTATCCATATAGACACTATGAATCTGTTTGGACATATTTTGATGCTACAGACTTCATCCCAGTCATGGTTGATCTAGTTGAATAAATCATCTGAATTCCAGAACGATTTCTTCTTCTTCTTATTCGCATTTTAAGCTTATTGATTAGTGCATATTAGCTTATTGCATGCTCTCAACTTAGTGTTCTAAATGCACTCTCAAAGTTATTAATTGAGAGCTTTCGATGCCAATACCAATGCATGAATTTGTGTATTGTGTGGCAAACACAATTATACTCTATATAAGTCGAGAAAATTTCCAGCCCGAAAGATTCCCTCGACCGGACCGGGAATCGAAACCGCCGCCTCCGGTTTAGTAATACCGTGCCTTTACTGACTAGGCTATGAGGCCCAGAACGATTTGGAGTACTTAAAACATCTGGTATACATGACAATAGTTCATGCATGATCCACATAGACACTATGCATCTGTCTGGAAATATTTCGATACTAAAGACATTGTCCCAATCTCGGTTGATCTAGTAGATCAAATTATCTGAACTCCAGGACGATTTGAAGAATTTTGAACATCTGGTTTACTCGGAAATAGATCATGCATGATCCACATAGACACTTTGAATCTGATCTGACATATTTCGATACTACAGACATTATTGCAGTCTTGGTTGATCTAGTACAACAAATCAACTGATGTCCTGGTCGATTTGGAAAACCTATAATTTCCGGTATATACAGTAATGAGTCGTGCATGATCCATAAAGTCACATTTATACGATTCGGTTATGATTTGACAACGAAAAGTGCTAGGTTCATATTAGAAATAAAAATAAAAAAAAACCATGAAAATGTCCCACCATTGGATAGAACCCAAGGAATATCCGTGTAAATACACTACCACGACGTTTGTTGGTCACGTGACTTATGAAACTTTGGTAATTTCTCGATTATTTACAGGATGTTTGGTTTGAATCGGTATAAAAATTGAGAAAACTAGAGCCAAATTAACTACAACATTTAGGACAGCAAAATACGTCAGAAACGTAAAGGTTGATTTTCAAGAAAATTTGCATTTCAAATGAAAATGCATTATTTTTTTTTAATAATGTTTCATCAAATCTAGGCCGGTATTATTCAATAGAATCTCATAATGTTAGAGTGTTTCATTATGTTCACTATTACTCGGAATTTATATTATACATAAATAACTAAAGATGATACAATGTTATTCTTTGTTTTAAATTCAAATGTTACAAACGATACTCGATGCTGGAGCCGACTGAGTTCTATTCCCGTACGGTCTATTAATTTTTCGGGTTGGAAAATTTCTCTACTTCCTTGGGCATACAATGTTACAGGCATAGAATGAGAGCTTTCTTTTAAAATGTGAAAGTACTTCGAAGAACACTAAGGCAAAAATCTAATATGCTTTAAGCAATAAGCTTGAAATGCCATGTAGTAGTATACAAATGCAATATTTTTTGGCAATGAAAACAGTTTTTTTTTGTCGCGGATTAGTATTTGAAGTCGCGGATTTCTTTTGAGAAATCGCGGATTTCGCGGATCAAATTTAGAAAATCTTGTAACAGCCCTGCAAATGCATAATTGACTTGTTCACGCCGAAATCATGGATTCATTTGATGTTTTCTACTTCATAGGCCTAAAATGGGTGACTAGGTCAAATTATTTGTCTTTCACTATCCTAAAAGGATGTCCATTTTCATTAATTAATATTCAAATATGTTTACAATTCAATTTGTCACTTTTAAAGTAATTTGTTAGGAAATTTTTCAGCTATTTAAATTTATTTTAAGTGAATTTGTGAGTTTATTTAATAATCATTAAACAATCACAAACTTTCAAATAAATGAATTGTTTTACTTAGCATTTTATTTCGTTGAAAAGTGGAAACCATTAAATAAAATTTTACTTTGTTCTGTTATCTGTTCTGATCTATACACTCACTGATAAACAATTCATAAAATCTGCAAACACCCTTTTGACCCTTTGCTGGTGGGTTGCAACTCAAAGAATTAAACACACTGGTCTAGTGCATTGATTTTGATCAAATGGGCTGTAAAACTCATTGACGAAACCTTTTCTACACTGAAATTTCACATTCGTCCAAGATCTTATACATTTTTAAAGCTCTTTGATTTTTTTTCGCAGCTAGAAAATATTCTCTTGATTCGCAATAACCATTGAGGCATCAGGCTTATTATACAAATATATTTAAAATAATCATATATGTTATTTTACTTGTAAAGATTCAAAACATTTAGACGAAAAATATCGCCAAAAGCCTTTCATTGCGCGAACTAAACTCAACAAGTAGCCCACAGCAATTTCACATCAAGTGTTTTCTTTTTGCTTCGGGGTTAAAAAACACTTCTCATCTTACTCTAATGACTTTGCAAAAGCTCTTTATACCAAGTAGCCAACTTCCATTGCGATGTTATCGCGCGCGCTCGCGTCATGCAGCCCCACACACCGATTGAGATGGTCTCAAAATTAGCAACAGCTCAGTCAGCATTAAAATACCTACCACATCGTGGTATTGTCTGGACTGGGGAAAACATTTTTACGAACCCTAACTCAATTTGGTGCTTGGTTTCGGGTGGCTGACGTTTGGAACAGGTGATTCCCGAGTCTTCTTCGTTAAGGGTTACTTTTTTTTTCGACACGCTGAGCATGTCCGATTTGCAGAATTTCGACGCAAAGCATTTAGACAATGCGCCAAATTTCAGGTTGGAGTAAGCGAATAATGAAATTCCGGATGGTTGGCTGGAAATTGTGGCTTCCGATGTGCGCATCGGTGTTTCCTGGTCTTAATTTCGCGAACCCGTCACATTAATATAAGGTCGAACGTCTGGGAATACTCACATGACGAGGTGAACGGATGCAGTGGGTTCCCACTGGCAGTGCTGAGCAGATTACTCAGAAACACTGTGAGGGAGGTGAGCAGCAGGAAGGCGTTGGTGGTGGTGGAAGTGCTGGTTGGCCGTTGATTGCTCCATCTGACTGTCCCTCGACGCGGTTTACTGGACATCTGGAAGAGAATGATGAAATTCAGGGAGATTAGTAGAAGCAAGCGATAAAGAAGCAGATTTATAAGTTCACCCCCCAAAGCCAACGAACAGTTTCGAAAGCTACCATAGCGAGGTACGGCACCCTTCAATTTGAACCATGACTGAGATATGGGTGAAATTTAGATCCAATTGGTCGCATCATTATCTTAATCCATGCCAAATGGCAAAAACGTCGACAACGATGGTGGCAAAGTTTACAGTTAATTAAAGCTTCTATTTGAAGCACCGTTGAAAGGCAGGAAATATTCCCAGTCAACCGATTTTATATTTTTACGATGACTAATTAGTGTCGGAAACCGTCAAATTTTCAGAACCGTTCGACGAATAAAAAACAAAATCCGAAATGGTTTTGGTGAATTCCTTCGTTTGCAAATGGGCCACAAGTTCACAAAGGCTTATATTTTTTTTTTACGAAGGAACAAACTTAAGCGTTGTGATCTAGAATGTGAAGTTCGTGAGCACCACTTTCGTCGAATGGGGCAAGGCAAGTTGATTTTTTATATGCAAATCTAATTTTCGGTACGATGCGTGGAAACACAGGAAATGAAATCTCCCACAATTGTTCTCTCTGGCTCGCTTGAAATTCATTTTTTTTTCGTGGTGGGAATTGCATTCCAGAGCAGCTCCACGCAAAATGACGAATTGATCTGATACGACCTACTCCGATGTGCATGAAACTTTGTTTGATTGCTTTTTTTTAATGGCCAATCGCTCACATTTTTGCTTTTTTTTTTGTTTGTTAATTTATTTGATAAGGCTCAACCGAATTAACTTTACAGAGCCGAGGATTCTTGGTCACTATACAATACATCTTAAAACTATAGTCAAAAGGTACAACACAATAAACACTTTATCTTCCGCTATCCAAAAAGCCTCCTCCATCAGAACTGGAGCCGCTTCTAGTAGTTTCATTGTATGGCAAATTGTTGTACGCCAACGAGGGTCAGAGCGCGTCCATTGCAGCAGTGGACGCAAAACGTGGTCAGCACTCACACACTCATCACGAAACGGTTGCTTTCCAAAGTCGACGACGCATCGACCGAAAGAACTGCTGATGAAGAACAATGAGGAGGACCACACAATGGTTGCTGCCGAGAAAACAGACGATCGCGTAGCACACATCGAGAGTGGCCTGCTTTTGTCGACAGCCGAGTGAACACTGTGAAACAATGTTGTAGAAAACGAAAATTCTTTATCTGAAATAATATATTAAGAAAAACAAATCAATAAACATTGGGGACAAAATTCCTAAACAATGCTTAAAAGTTTAATAACATAAAATAACCATCTTCAATATTATTTTCAAATTTTTAATAGGAAATTTCTATTCTATTCTGAAAATTAATCATGGTTAATCAGACAATTAAAATTTAAGAAAAATCGATAAGCATCAACTTTTAGTAATATTTTTTTTTTCAATTTTGCACAGACAAACATTTTCAAGACTTTCAGAATAGTTGTCTGTGCAAAATTTCACATTAAATGTTCATCCAAAAAGATCAAAACTTTGACCTAAAGTTGACATTTAATTGATTTTTGTTTATTTTTATTTGTGCTTCTTGAAATTTGCACGCCTTTGCGCGATATTAATGAAATATTGAAAAGAGTTTTTTTTTAATTTAAATTTAAACTAATCTTTATTTTTTACAATTTTTTTTTCTTGAAAGGTTTATTATTTTCCTACAACTTTGTCTCAGATTTTTTTTATTTCTAAGGCTCAATCGCGTTAGCTTTATGGAGCCTATAATTCATTATCCTTTGTTTGTAACAAAATTCACTTAATTCTATATCTAGTAGGAGTTGGGCCGAATACTCGCGGCTTACCCGAGGTTAGAGGGATATATTGTCGAAGGATAGGAAAAAGGGAGGAGCTTGGGAGTAGGGTTTCGTTATCTCATAAGAGCGATGTCGCCGGTATGAACGGTAATGTGGTTCTAGGTTCCTCTGGAGTTCAACCGGCTATGGTGACCAGTGGGCGACGAGAGACTCATCAAGACAAGACAAACAAAAACTAATAAAGATATACGAAAGACAAACGAATTAATTTCTTCTCGGGTACCCAACACGTCTCTGATAGGGGTATAGGGTTGTCTTCCTTGGGCCTCGAGGGTATTCAAAAATTGCTCTCTGGCGGTGTCATTGTCTCAGACATAATTTGGATTGGAAATGATGTTTTTGAATTACAAATTGTAAACAATCATGAAATTTTCATTTTTAAAGTTTCTTTTTTTTTTCGATAGACATTATGGAAGTTTCGGTTGCGTTCGTGTGTAAAGCAAAAATCATGAAACGCGATCTCACCACAGTTTGGTGAGATTTGCAGCTGGTGATTTTGGTTAGCTTGATATTCCCAGCAGCGATATCACAGCTTGCAATATCAACCGCAATTGTTTGTATTTTGCTTTTAGTCTTTGAAAACCATGCGTAATTTTTTTAAATTACATATTGTAAACAATCATGAATTTACTATTTTGAAGTTTTTTTTGCAAGATTCAAAATTACTGAATTTTAGCAAAAACGTGACTCATTGACCATTACAAAAAAATACGCAAAGTTTCATGCAAATCGGAGATTTTTTTTATTTAGTGGAAATGCTCTCCATTCAAGTGAGTTACATATAATAATTTCAATTAATCAGCATCTCAAAATTCAAGAATCAAAATTCCACTAGGCAAAAATTTTGTATTGCATAAAGGAAGAATCACAGTAATCACAAGAATCACAAACTACAAGAGAATCAAAATGACCGAGTTTGTGGGAAGTTATCAAGCCGGCTTCATTGACGGCCGATCGACAACGGACCAGATCTTCACCGTACGGCAAATCATCCAGAAATGCCGTGAATAGCAGGTCCCAATGCATCATTTGTTCATCGACTTTAAGGCAGCATACGACAGTATCGACCGCACAGAGCTATGGAAAATCATGGACGAGAACGGCTTCCCTGGGAAGCTGATCAGACTGATCAAAGCAACGATGGACGGTGTGCAAAACTGCGTAAGGGTTTCGGGTGAACTATCCAGTTCATTCGAATCTCGCCGGGGACTGCGACAAGGTGACGGACTCTCATGCCTACTCTTCAACATTGGTCTAGAAGGTGTAATGCGACGAGCCGGGCTCAACAGCCGGGGTACGATTTTCACGAAATCCGGTCAATTTGTGTGCTACATTTGGACATTTGGAGAACATTTGGAACGGTGGCAGAACTATACACCCGCCTGAAACACGAAGCAGCAAAGGTCGGACTGGTGGTGAGTGCGTCAAAAACAAAGTACATGCTAGTAGGCGGACCCGAACATGACAGGATTCGTCTAAGAAGTAATGTCACGATAGACGGGGATACTTTCGAGGTAGTGGAGGAATTCGTTTACCTTGGATCCTTACTAACGGCTGACAACAATGTGAGTCGTGAAATACGAAGGCGCATCATCAGTGGAAGTCGTGCGTACTACGGGATCCAGAAGAAACTACGGTCAAAAAAGATTCACCCCTGCACCAAATGTACCTTGTACAGAACGCTAATAAGACTGGTGGTCCTCTATGGACACGATACATGGACTATGCTCGACGTGTGCTAAGGACGATCTTCGGCGGTGTGCAGGAGAACGGTGAGTGGCGGCGAAGAATGAACCACGAGCTCGCTGCACTCTACGGCGAACCCAGCATCCAGAAGGTGGCCAAAGCCGGAAGGATGCGGTGGGCAGGGCATGTTGCAAGAATACCGGACAACAACCCTGCAAAGTTGGTGTTCGCTACTGATCCGGTTGGCACAAGAAGGCGTGGCGCGCAGAGAGCACGATGAGCGGACCAGGTAGAGCGTGATCTAGTGAGCATTGGGCATTACCGAGGATGGAGAGCGGCAGCCGCAAACCGAGTTTTGTGGCGTACTATTGTTGATTATGTCTTATCTTAAATGTGTTGTTGTACAAATAAATGTATGTAATGTAAGAGAATCAATAGTCATAGAAGCAAAAAGTCACAAAAATCACAAAAAAACAACAATAATCAAGAGTAATTCAGTCAGAGTCAGTTCTGTTTTAATGCAATTTTAATTTTAATTTTTATTTTTTTTAAATCATTAAGAACGACTTCTTATAATACAATTCCACCATATTTTACGTTGATTATTTTCTGCTGATTTAAACCACTTTATTTGGTAGCAAAAGAAGATCACAGGATCAAAAAATACAGACCAACAAATGGTTTAGAAACAGAACTGAGTTTATGCAACTAAATTTAATAAATATTCGAAAAAAAAAAATCTAGAGCCAAATGGTTTAATCAGAGTTGTATAAATTAAAATTAAAAAAACAATTTAATGCAACAATAACAAAATCAAATAAAAATTGAAAATAGAAATCAAAAGAACAAGTAATTCTGAGAAGCCCAAGGATCCATTCAATAAAAAATACTAATTTATAATATCAAGAATAACACGAACACAAATCATGAATTACAATGATTTATTTGATCAAGGCTCACAAGAATAAAAAATTAACAAAACTTTTTGTAAAACAATTCTCGAAAATTAAATATCACATATAGAAAGATTCATTGAACTAAACTTACACAATAATTAATGCTTCAAAGACAAAATCACAAAAATTAAGAATAACGCGATATATTATTCTTTTTGAACATATTACAAAAATCACAAGGTTAACAAGTATAACATGACATCACACAAAATTAAGGATCAATCATATCAATCAAAAAAAAAATCATCAATTATCTGATTGATGTTGGAATCAATAAAATTAAGAATCAAAAGAATCAAATGATTACATTATTTTATTATATCAATCACAAGAATCAATACTCACGGGGAACAAAACTCATTAATCCTTCTTACAAGTATCTTAACACAGCAGGGGCCTCATAGCCTAGTCAGTAAAGACACGGTATTACCAAGCCGGAGGCGGCGGGTTCCATTAGAATCTTTCGGGTTGGAAATTTTCTC